TTTTTTTTTAAACGATGATATGCTCCCATGTTTCATGATACTGGTGAAGCTTTTATCATGCTCGTATAAAACGAAACTATTACACAGCGCGACACTCTTTTTCCCTCCCTTTGGCGTTCGTTTTTTCACGTGTTCTTCTTTCGCGAACGATCCACTCGACTGTGTAGAATTAAACACACAGATTATCCGCGGAACAGAACGTTTGAGAAGATAAAAATTCGTGTGGAAAATTCGGCAACAGTTCGTGCATAAATCTATTCGAAAGAAATGGAAACGTTAACGGAGTTAACGCGTTGCAATGCGTTCCTGTTTCTGGAAAGACGCACGAAATTAGCCAAACCAGTTCACAACTGCAATTTCCAAGAAGACTATTTGCAGAACAGGCTGCCAACTATTCGGCTAGATCTCACATTTTCTAGCTGATTTAATCTTAATGACAATCCTTGTATTTTATGTTTAGATTTAATCTTTAAAATCTCGGCGCCTCTTCGCAAAAAATCATTACTGCCGTATCATGGCCTTCTTAATACTGAATAATTTTTATTAACAAAGTTTTATTGGTGTCTTTGAAAACGACGGGATTATTTAAGTTCCATTTAAATGGCACGCGTTTGGCCTTGAAAAGAGATTTTTCTCATACCTTCAACTGGAATAGTTTTACAGTCAGTCTAGCAATGTGTTTTCGAAACAAATTGTTGGATATATATATATAAAATTATTTTTAAGCTGCAACGAGTATAAAGCCGAGTAGGTGCAGTTGCTGTGAAATTTAAATAAAATACAATGAAATTTTCTGGTTGTTCTTTGGTTACGAAATTATATTATTTCAGAAAAAGTTACACATAATTACGATATTTTTTTAAAAATCCTAAAGTACTCTAAAATATGTTAAAATTACGAATATATTTTTTGTTTTATCCGAATTATAATAGCAAAGTTAATAATAGCAAATGCAAGTCTTTTTTATTACATGACGAGTATATTCGACAGAAACATAATATGAAAAGAGTTATGTTGATGGTTTAATACAGTAATACTTGAACCAACTCACAAGCTCCGCCTAAGTAATACTTCAGTTTTACGTTTCATCTGAATTTTATTTTAATTCTACTCCAATGTTACAACTATTTTATTTACCAAATGTTTGTCTCTGTGAACGAGACAAGCGTTGTTACGTCGTAAGGATATAATTAAGAAAATTATACAATTTTACGAGATTTTTATTCGAATTTTTATCGATGTAGAAATGTTGCAATGCTATCCTTTTTTGCGATACGTTATTTTCGACTCGTACGCCAGAGGTCCACTCACACATGACCAATTCCCAACAACGTATTCGTTTACATCCTATTAACGAACAAGAGACGAAACACAGATAAGCCGATCAGGGCAAGTAACGAGTTCAAGATGCATTCGCGCATGCAGCGCATAGAGAGATTTCAGGCGAATCGTTTATTATCAGATCGATCGCCTCGGTGTGCCCGAACGATTTCTCGGAATCCTGCGGAGCCCAACGAACCGGAGGGGTCATCAACGGACTGACGAACGAAAGAAATAAAAATGTGGAACGGGATACGTGGAACGGTGGAAGAGGCGGGACAAAAAGGGCAGCAGGCAATCAACCTGGCCCACGTACGGAATACGTTTGTTCGTGGAAAAATTATGCCCAGGAAACGGGGATGATCTAAGTTACCGGGCCAGGTCAGATTTTCGACGATTCTCGGGTTACATTCTACCGCGGCGGCTGCTTTCCGCGAAACGGCCGGCAACACCTGGCCAGGTAAATCAAACCGGGTTGCTCCTTTTGAAAAATCCTCACGGACCTCCTTTACCGATCCTCGACAGTGGAATATATGGACACACATACACCACACACACATGTGGTCTGTGTTGGCATATAACCTGGACACGCAGAATGGCCGCTCGCAGCGCGAAACGACAGGAAGCTAACTGCATTAGAGTCGTTCGTTCTCCCTTCCCCCTATTCAACGACGAAATTTTTCCGCTCGTGCTGCTTCGCCTGGAG